CCACTGAGGACAGCGCGGGGGTGCAGACGGAGTTCTAGGCCAGTGGCCCATGCGGCGGCTTCCGCCGGGCAGCCATGCCGCACCATGCCCGGGGCTGCTCCGTCTTCCCTTCTGTGGGCTGGTCTCGGATGCAGGGTCCGGCTTCCAGGCTTTCTCTTCGCGCTGGGGCTGGAGGCAGCTGGAGGGGGCTGGGGCTCCGCCTCTGTGTCCTCCCGGCCCCGTTTCCCTCCGCTGTGTCTGGCCCTCCTCTGAGGGAGGAGCTTGGGTGGCTGTGGGTGCTGACGGGAGTCTGCCCTCGTCTCACTGGGGCGCCCTGGGACCGGGGCTGTGGAGGACGACGGAGGCTGGGACCGCATCTCCCACCCTGTCCCCTGCCAGCCTCGTTCCCGGGGACGCTGACCTCGCCCTGCCGTGGCTGACCGTGATGGAAGAAGGGGTGGGCGGGCTTGGGGAGGCTGGGTGGAAGGCGCTGCCCCAGGGGGAGTGGGTGAGGCCCGGGGGTAGAATGAGAAAGACTCCGAACGTGCTGGTCTGTGGGGAGAAGTGGGCTGAGGGCCGAGGTCGGGCGTCCGCGGGAGGCTAGAGGCCGAGTGGCAGTGAGAGCGATCCCGAAAGTGGGGACTGGGGAGCCCTGCACACACCTGTCTCCCAGCCCCCCGTCTCCTCCTGCTGGCCGGCTGCTCTCGGGGTACCCTGCCTTGGCTCGTACTTTGGACAGGCAGGTTGCTCAGAAGCCTGGTGTCGCCTCCCTGCCACCTCTGGGGACCTGGTATGGGCCTCGAGGGTGGGGGAGGGTATGGCCTCAGAGTCTCCGGTCCCCTGACCCTGAGATTTCTAGGCCCTTCTGAAACTGTCCTCATGAGTCACTGGGCTTGGGGTGCCCCTCCCTCAGCTGCTTGTTTTGGGCTGGAGGGTCAAGCTGAGGCAGCCTGGTATGACAGCCTCACCCAGTGTCCTCCAGACCCAGGGCAGGGGCCTTAGACCCCGGGATAGCAGCTGGTGCTCAGGGACCCCCCAGTCCCCCGGCCCCAATGTTGGCTGCATCACTAACCTCTTCCGATGTCCTGTAGTGCCTTGGGGGTTTCAATCACGTTCCCAGATAGGGTATTGCAAATACTATGCAAACTGTTTACGCTTCTGCTAATCAATAAACGCTTTATTTAAAGTTGTCTCTTGTGTGCTGCTGGGTGCCAGGCTGAGAGTGGGAGTTGGGGGTACCTGGGCCAGGGACTGTGTCCAGGAGAGTCCGCTTGCATCCCAGCTTTCCTGACTGAGAGCCATTGGTTCACCGTTCTTTCTTTGGTTGAGATGGTCTCATTATGCAGTTCAGGCTGGCCTTGAACTTAGGGTAATCCTCCTGCCTCAGCCTCCTGAGCGCTATGCTGAGACCAACAGCATGTGCTCCCATGCCTGGCTCCACCATCTGAGTTCTCATCCCATTTTACAAAAGAAAAATCTCAGAGAGGAGGGACTCAGCCCAACCTGGGCAGGCTGCTCAGCAGCACCGAGTGGTGGGGAAACGGGTATAAAGTCAGTCAAGGCCCTGGGTGCCCACCCATGGCTGGATGCAAACAGCACACCAGCTCTGCCCAGCCTGGGTCATGTCCTGGCCCTGGTGAGAACGGAGCACCTTGGCTGTGGTTATGCTGAGGGCCCTGTAGCTGGGGGGCTGCCCTGTGAGGGGTGACACATCCCTACTGGTGTCCATGGTCGCCTGGGGCTGGGCATTCTCCCTCAACAGGACTGAGGTGCAAAACGGCTTGGGGTCAGAGCCTGAGACCCCGCTGGTGTCCGGCTGTTGTCTCAGGCAAATCTGAGCCAAGAGCCCTCAGTGATACGAGGGGTACAAAAGCCCTTCCCTCTAGAGAGCAGTGAAGACCCAGAAGCCATTGCGCTACAGAAAGTGCACCGGCCTGCCTCAGGCCCCAGGCTCCCCTCTTGGCCAGGCAGAGCCCAGGAAGGTGGTGGTGGGGGTCACCCGGTGCCTGTCCTGGACAGCAGGACTCACCATGAAGGGCGTTCACCCAACCTTTTCAGCGCTGCAGGGGTGATGCAATGGGGAAGCTGAAGCCCAGGTCGAAGATCTTTGCCACCCCCGCCCCTAGCAGCCCTATCCTGGACCCTGCACCTCAGGTGAGTGCCGCGCGCCCCCTAGTGGCTGCCAACAGGCCAGGGCCCCATCGTGTATCGTACTGGACAGGTGGGAAACACCTGGGGGCTGGCACCCGAGCCCAGGTCCCTGGAGCAGGCCGGCCCATGACGAACATGCGCCTCTCTTGAGCACAGGTGCACGCAGCTGCTGGAATTCTGCAGCGGCCCATGGGCACCGCGTGCACGGTCCAGTCGGGATGCTTCTGGGCTCCAAGCCCACACTGCCAGGTCCCCGTTCTGAGGTGGACACAGCCCGGGTCCATAGGGCACCAACTGCTTGTGGATTAGGGGCCACTGCCACCACGGCTGCCTGCCCAGCCTTTCCCCACGTGAGAGGCATCCGACAGTTTCCCATTCCAGAGTGGCTCCGCCTTCCCGTTCCGGGAGACCCCCAACGACCCTGGGAAGGAGCGCGCAGATAGATTTATTGAAGTTCCTGCTCCGGATCCAGCTGTGTGGGGAGGAGCACAGATGTGCAGGTGGGCGGGGCGCGCGCGGGAGCAGCGGAGGGGAGGCTGGGGGCACAGGCCTGAGCAGCTC